ACCAGTCGACAGCAGCGTTTCATACCATCCCGAAGGGCCTCTTTGACTTTGTCATTCCTCAGGGTGAAGATGAAAGGGTTCAGGAAAGGGGTTACCACAGAAATAAACAGGGAAACTATCTTGTTGTACTCAGCAGCCTGTGTTTGCTTAGGTTTTACAAACAGGAACGAGCAGCTTCCATAGACAATCACAACAAAGATGAAGTGAGAGGCACACGTAGAGAAGGCTTTCCTCCGGCCTGAGGCTGTGGGGATCTTGAGGATGGTAGAGATGATGTAGGTGTAGGAGACTATTGTTGGGGCCAGCGAACCAATGATAATGACAATAGCCATTAAGAAGAGAACAAATTCTGTGAAAAGAGTGTCACCACAGGATAGTTTGAGCAGTTGCCCTCGGTCACAAAAAAAGTGGTCTAACAGATTTGACTTGCAGAAGGTAAACTGAAATGTGGCATAGACTGGCCATATTTCAGAGAGGAACCCAAACACCCATGACACAATGACCACCCAGATGCAGGTGTGGCTGTTCATAATGATGTTGTACCTCAAAGGGTTACAGACAGCCACATAACGATCCACAGCCATTGCTCCCAGTAATGCGAACTCTGTGGTCCCCACAGCAAGGTACAGGAAGAGTTGGGTTACACATGCAACCAGAGATATTGTCTGCATCCCAGGGAGCATCAATCCCCAAAGCATCATGGGCACAGTAATAGTTGTGATCAGGATCTCCAAGGCAGACAAATGACCAAGGAAGAAATACATGGGAGACTGCAGACGTTTATCCACACAGACAATCACGATGATGACTGTGTTTCCCATTAACGTTGCTGAGTAGAAGAAAAAGAATATGGCAAAAAGAATGTGGTGTAGTTCTTGGGACCCAGGAAAGCCTAGAAGGCAGAATTCAGTGGCACTAGAGAGATTGTTCATCATTTACTCCTTTTTTCTGCTCCTTGTAAAATCTAGACATCAAAGACTGGTAACATGGCGCCACATAGTCCTGTTCTCCAAAGAGAAGGAAGACAGGTTAGGATGAGAAAATATTTTCAACCTGAGAACCTGGTGACATGCCCCGACTGCAATGCTCTGCACAAGGTCAGACAAATGTGATCACCTTCAACCTAGCACAAGTCTGCCTGTCTGGAATAGGGGAAGACTCCTGAATCGCTACTGAGGATAAGAAAACATTCTCTGTCTTTTTACACCACAGGATAGGTCTTCTCTCCTGGGACAGAGGATAAGAGTGTTTAAACTGACCACTTATGAAGCTGTGTTGATCAGCCACACCAGTCCGGGGACCGTGTCATTCTTCTTATGTTAACTGTAGCAGATGACATAAGAGTGTTCTAGGTGATGGTCAGATCATGGAACATTGAACCCTACACGTCATCCTTACTGGTATTGTCTAGACCCAACTTGGGGTAGTAGAAAAGCAGCAGCGGACTAAGAACAACACCCCTGCTCTCCCCAGAGTGTAAACTTCCATGGTACAGAGCAGACACATCTACAAATGAGAGCTCTGGAGCTCTCTGGAGATAATTTCCCAGGGCAGAATCATTCTTCCCTAAACCCATGTGCTTTGCAAAATGTTGGGAGACAGGAAAGGTGGCACCTGTCCCTAACAAGGATAGATCTGAGGCCAGTAGCCCCTGTGGATGTCTGGATCTCGACCTCTCACTTTATTCATCCCCTTACTCAAATGTCATCTCCTCAGACGATTCTATCCAGTAACCCTACACCAATTAGGAATAACTTGTTCATTTTTGGACTTTACCATTCTTTGTAGCACTTTTTATTACCTGATACGATATGTATACTAATTTCATTCCTTCGTTGAACATTAAGCAAATTCAGCAGTGGATAGAACAAACAAAAATTCCTGCCCTGTGGAGCTTACATTCAAGGGGAGGGTGGATGCCAGATTATATACAAGACAAGTAAGTACAATTATGATGCTAGTCTATTCATCATGCTGGAACAAATATAAGGCAAGGAAGAAGGACAGGAAA